CAGTCATACTTTCCGGTGCTGAGGATTGGAAAAAAATTTGGGTGAGAGGTAGCGGGGAGAAGGAAATGATTTTTGAGCTGGGTAAATATGAGGAGTTCCTGGAATTATGCTAATGTGAGTGGAATAACACAATTTTTTTATTTGAGGGTTTAACGAGAATTTTAGCGGTCATTCGGAATCCACAAACACAGAAAAACCTAAACTTAATTTTTTGATAAACGTAATTTACGCTCAACGTCAATGCGATGTCTGGTGGCTTTTTTTCCGTCACGAAAATTGGAATTTAGACTTTAAAAAAGCGTTTTTTACGGTCGAAATAAAAATGTAAATTACGATCTTCATGAACGTATTTCACGATTTTCTTACGCGAACATCGCGAAGTGAAGAAGAAACGGTTGGAAAGAGCTCATTTACTAGTTTTTAATCAGATTTTTACTGTTTAAATAACAATAAAAGTGTTCTGGATGTTTTTCATAAACGATTTCCTAAATTTTCTTCGTCCAAGCCCCTTTAATTCGTTTTATTCGAAAACTGGCAAATTGTCAAAATTGACTTGTACCGATTTACCTCTTCATTACTCAATTATTAACTTTTTCAATCAAAATCAAGTGTCTTTCTGTGGGAAAAACATCCGAATTGACTTCTAAAAGTTGATATTTCACATTCGACGAAAAAAAACATGGATAATTCGATACTGATGGGTGCCCCTTGACTATTCGAAAACTGGTGCCACCACGGTAATACATGCATAATTCGCAACGTCTCCATATCCTCCTAATAATAAATTAATTATGAATGAATTAATGATTTGGTGTTTTTCCTTTACCTGAAGCTTCGCCAACGGAATAATATCGCAGTCGGTCGGCCGATGCCACACCGTTTTCTGTGACGTTGCATTGTAATAATAAAATCTCGAGGTATTTTGATCGAACAACTCCCACCATTGATTGTTGTCCGTCTTCTTCCTGCAATAAAGTCAATGAAAAAAAAAGTCACATCCTCGGTATCAATGGAAAACCCCTGTAGAATCAATAAAAGCCTACGCCACAAGCCTATAAAATAATCACAAAAGTTTACGTGTGTAAAAAAATTCGCACGTACACATGAACTCCCGGTGGAGGATCCCAGACACACTCGCCGGTCGTCAGATTGGCGTACATGTGCTCTTTGGTACGCGGCTCGATTATCTCCACCCATTCCATTCTGCTGTAATATTAATGAAAAGAGGAATATATGAATTATCGAGAAAAACTCTTCTCGGATTTCATAGGGTTGCTCTCCCCTGCGGTGGGATAATTCAATACTTTCGGGTGAAAATTGTTGCGAGAATCGGGAAAATATTTCAGGAAATGTGTGGAGAAAGGAGTTGAAAATATCGCATTCCCTTGAGATGAGTAAGTCATTTTATTTTTGCCGGTCAATTTTGTCAGGTTTCAGGAAATACTTTTCTTGAGAGACGAATTTATTTTTGTAGGAGGGTATTTCTCCAGGCCAGTCATTCTCAGGTGGTCCATGGCCATCTCCAAATATTATAATCATGTTGAATTATGGGATGATTATGCTACATATGACCTTCAACGAACACCCATTATTTTTCAATTTTTTCATATTTGAGATTTTCTTACGTGAAGTAATTTGGAATAATTCTAGGTGTTAATAATTTTTGATGGAGTTCATTGAAGGTCATATGCAGCATTATCATCCGATAATTAAGGTGATTGTACTATTTGGAGGTGGATTTGGACCACCTGGGAATGACTGGCCTGGAGAAATGCCCTCCTTAAATAGTGTTTGATATAGAATATTTCGATAGGAGTGAGACGGAATTTTCACGAGAGTGAAGTTGGCGAAGCCGAGGGCTGCCAATCGCACGAGCTGAAAATTCCCGTCTCACATGTGTCGAACAATATTTTTTTGACAGTGATGTTACGTTCAGCGAATGGCCGAACTGTGCCTTTTTCTTTTACAAGGAAACAAAAAGACTTTTCGTTTACTTTGCGGCACGAGGCCATCGCTATTTCATCACGATTTGTGGAAAGTGCTTCGCGCGCGCAAAACTCCACTTTAAAAAATCGTCGAATGACCTTTTCCAGAGAAAATTTCATCGGCTACAAAAAAAGTCTTTTCACATTTTCTCTTAGACCTTTCCATTACTGAGAAAATTAGATGATCCGCAGATTTTCTGTGCCAAAGGAGTTAATGAATGACTAGTCTTTTCGAAGACACAAATGAGAAGAGTTGGTCAATAAAAGGTCACATCAAGTTCTCTTTGACCTACTCCTCATAATTTTTTATTTTTGAACCCTTCCAGTGCATAAAACCACCAGGGGCCGAGCTTTCCGTTACTTGATGCGTTATTTGTCTTTTTCATTGCTTACTTCTACCAATTCCATTGGTAGTAAGCTTCCGAACGGATCCGTAGAAATTTTATTTTCTAATTGAAAACTGGCAATTTTTACTGAAAACGGTTCGTCGAAACGTACGACCTTCTAAAATTGAGAATTAAATTTCGGTTTTATCCAGTGGGATGGGAATACCTACACGACCCTATTTTTCAAAAATGTTGGCGAGTGAAAATCAATGGTAGAACAACGATATGTCATTTTATGCGAAAAACGCTTTTTACATCAAATGCTCTATTTCAAAAAGTATTGAATCGATCAATCTGAAATTTTACACAGCAGTGCAGCTCGATCATACTAACTAGTGCCCAACATTTTAGACCTTCACCACATTTTTCACTCATGTAATGGAACGTCAAAGCAACTTTCAGACAAAAAAAATTAAAAAACGCTAATATCTCGTAAACTTTATAGAAACGGGTATGTATGTTTTGAAAAATCTAGATTGGAGACATCAAGACGAATACTTTGAAAAATAGATATTATCATGAAGAATATTTTGACGCCAAAAAACTTCATTTGATGCAGTAGTTCTCGAGACATTGAGAAAAGAAAAATTTTTCGGAATCGCTGTATCTCAAAAACTACTGGATCGATTGAGCTGAAATTTCGCCCAGATGTGCTCCCAAACAATACCAATTCTGAGCCAAAATTTCAGATTTTTAGCTATCACTCAAGTCCGTTTTTTGTTAAAATTCATTAAAAAAAAATTCATGACATTTCAAGTCATTTCCACGCAAAATTAGAGAATCGAAAAATCGAGCGATTACAAAGTTTCCATTCGATAGCAATAAAAACATTTAAAAAATCATAATTCCAGTCTGCTGAACGTTTCATCACTTCCCAAAACTGATAAAATCCATTCTAATTCCTCCAATCACCTCCCCCATTTCTCCCCACATTCCGCACCACAAAAATACATCATTCAACTCCTCTTCTCAACATGTTCCACATTTACCCAAGAAAACTAGAATTGATGTCCCTAACACAACGTGAAAGATAGTGAAGCTGATGTCATACACCCATGTTGCTGCTCCCCCCTAGTCAATTTAATTGGCTCAAACGAGGCTGAGAAAGTACACCCATGCCCATTACATACCACTCGTCACACTTCTCACCAACAAACCCGCGTGGAAAAAACAATTGAATGTAAAGTAATACCAATCCCACAAATTCACTCCAAAAAGTACAACAATTCGATGCTCAACCCTTCGCTCCACTCGGCTCATAAATTCCCAGAAAAGTAGTCAAATTCAGGATCCACCCCGGAAAAATTTCACCCTCGCCCAATTTTCGCCCCCAGTTCCCCAATCTCCCCTCAATTTTAATAATTCCAATCCCGAAAAACAAAAAAAAACGTGGAAAATTCCTCAGAAATTGAATTTAAAAAACTGGTCATCGATTATCGCATGCAACAAACCCTCACGATTACTTATTAACCTGTCAACCCCTTTGCACCCCTAAAACGTGAATAAATCCTCGAAACCCAAGAGAAAGCCTGTAAACAATAAAAAGAAAAATTATTCTTACCTTAATTTCAACTCGTCGACGTCGAAAAAATAACAAAAAATTGCACAATTACAAGAACCCCAGGTCAACCTTTTCCTCAAACTTCCGCCCCTAGACCTCACCCCCGCTATTTCACATTCACTGTTAACCCCAAACAAATGTTTCCACGAATATCACTCCACTCCGAAAAATCAACGACTCGTCAAAAATAGCCTAAACTAAGGTGAAAAAAAATGGTAAAACCTTTTGGTTTTATTTAATAATTGCACATTAGCCTGGAGAGTGGGCACGGGTAGAGACCCGTCGTATCACCGTCGGCCATCTTTCTCAGAACACCGATATATCACGATATCAAACACAAACGCACACTCATCATCCCTGAGTTTAATCCCTCGCATTAATGAGTGACAGAAGACACGTGGGTATTAGACGGTACATTCACACGATAAAATCACCACTCACTGGACGAATGTTTGTTTGACATTGTTCGAATGAATTAACGATTGTGGACTATTGTTTGAGCGTTTTCTTCCAGTCTCTGGAACATTGCAGGGACTTCTGAGGGTTTCACTTGCACTGGTCCGAGGGTGCAGTGGGGGCGATCATTTTTCGGGGTTTTGTTTGGATTTTTTCACTCGGGATTTCACCCATTTTTTCAGGTTTTCGGGGAACTTGAGAGATTGTACGAGGGCTTAGAGAGCTTTTGCGGAGAACTGAGACTCTGCGGGGGAATGCACTGTAAGATCTTCAACTAAGTTTGACATTTTATGTGTGAGTGCATGTAGAGTGCTGTCGGGAGGAGGGGGAGGTGTTTGGTTTGGTTTAGGCTGATGGTAAACATGTTTATTGGGGGGTGGATCTACCGGGGGTAAGTTACCGAGCGAGGTTTTGGGCTTCGAGTGAAAGCATTGTAATCGTTCAAATTTAAGGTTTGAGTTTTTTGCGTTATATCGACCCATTGTGGTCCAAAAAGTCCGGAACAGTAGGGGAGGTTGGGGTAAAATGGATACTTTTGACTTTTTTAAAATATTAGTGACGGGTTGAAATGTTGATGAAATTTAATAATTTTTTTTCCGATACAAAGAACAATTCTTTCCCTTTGTGATGAACCTAAACTGAGGTCTATTGTTACATTTGTTTCTGAGTTATGAATAATTGTAAAAAAGTTTAAATGTCCATAGGACGGAATTTTCAGGAGTGAGAATTTGGCGGCCCGAGGCGAAGCCGCGGACTTGAAATTAACTTTCGAGTTTTCAAGTGTTATTTTTTCATTTTTTTAAATGTCTCTGAGTTCTAGGGGTTCATTCAGAATTCTCGATAAAGTGTTAGGATATTCTAATGGGAAAATCATGCGAATCTGAATTTTTGACGTGAATACGTTCATGTTTTTTTTCATTATGGAGGGAATTAGGGAAAAGTCCTTATAGTTCCTTATCGGCAGTTGCGCCATCTATCCGAATTGTTGGACATTCTAGAATGTGATAGCTAATTAAAAAACCTAGAATTGATTTAATTTTTTTTCTGGAATCCCTTCAATCAAAATAACACATTGTTCCCTTATTTATTTATTGATTCGCATAAAAATTCTCGCAATTCACTTTGTTGATGATAATTCAGGGATTTATTTTACTGACAGAGTAAATTGTGTTGATAAGAAAATGACCTTCGACAGTAAAAAATTCATCGCGGAAGCAATTGTGAATCGTGTGTGTCACAGTGTACAGTGACGTTGTTGCCAGTTATTATTCCCTCTTGAATTCGTTGGAGCTCTCCCAAAGGTGTTTCCCATCAATTCAAAAATCCATCTTGTGTTCAACCAAGAGTTCAATGCTATTCACTCCATTCCCATCGACTCACAATTATTAGATTTGTTTTTTTCTGAGTAAAGGTCCAATTGTTTTCGAGGATTTAGGCACATATCAATAACAATGGATCCAGAAGTACTGACGACATTGAAACTCCTCATGATTGGAGAATCCAATGTGGGGAAGTCCAGGTGATGAGAAACAATTATAGGAATAGTTATAAAATAATTTTACAGCTGTGCTTTACGTCTTTACATTAAAATTTTGTCCTTATGTCCTCGTCTTGATTCGCTCCTGTTGGCGATAGTAAATGTTTCTGTTGATTTGATGACGATAATCATATGATAATGATGCAATTTGTTTGTCCAGTATTTTGTTGAGATTTACTGAGGATGAGTTTTACGAGAATATGCAGAGCACTGTGGGAATGGACTACAAAACTAAACAAATATCACTTGATGGAGATACAGTGAAATTAGCTATTTGGGTTTGTACGATTTTTCATCAGTTCACCAGTCGATCCATGCATGAGCTGGGTAAAAGGAGGAATTTTTTTATAAACGACCTAGGAGTCCAGGGGGAAAAATGGACACTTCAGAATTTTTTTCGAAGGCTGAAACCTTATTTAATTGTTGATTGCATGGATTTTTGCTTACGAATGGAAGCTTTGCAATCGTTCAAATTTAAGTTTTGGATTTTTTGGATTGTATTGACCCAGTATGATCCTAAAAGCCCGAAAATGCAATTTTTAGACCTCATCCATATGTGCGTGTACACATATGGAAAAATTTAATAGAAAATTTGATTGTATTTGAAAGAGTCAATAAATTTCGATTTTTCTGAATTTTTACCAGAAATCGATTTCATGCCTAGAAAATAAGCTTTCCGGAAGTTTAAACAATTTCAATTATTTATTTATAAACAACGAAAGTTCAGAAATGTAATAATTCTATGAAATTATTTTTTTCAATTTTTTTTCAACAATTTCGCTGACAAATTTGATGTTTGACAATGGTTAAAACTATAGGGTGGTCTGTACTAAAGTGTAAAAGATTTTTAGATATCCTTAAATGGTTAATTTTTTCGAATGATTTTTATTCAATTTACGATGACTTTTCGAGATGAATGGAAATAATTTTTAGGATACAGCAGGCCAAGAACGTTTCCGAACACTGACCCCGAGCTACTACCGCGATGGCCAAGGTGCTATATTGGTCTACGATGTAACAGACAGAAACACATTTATAAAGCTAGAAACGTGGCTAGAGGAGTTGAACACATACTGCAATAAAATTGATATAGTTAAAATGGTAGTTGGAAATAAAATTGACCTGCCAAACAGAGAAGTCTCGATAGAGGAGGGTCTGACGTTTGCCAGGAGACATCAGACGTTGTACATCGAGAGCAGTGCGAAAACTGATGATGGAGTCAAGTGTTGCTTTGAGGAGCTTGTACAAAAGGTAATATATGTTTTCAAACAAGTCGCATTTGAAGCAGAAGAGTCGCAAAATTTGTTGAGTGCTTGCGATTTTGGCTGAACATCCTTGAAGAAAAAAAAATTATTGCAGATAATTCAAACCCCTGGATTATGGGAGCACACTCGTTCGAGAACAATGCACAGCCCTGGGGGCAATGGACCAAGACAGCGCCCCGGAAAACGAGGTCTTCAGTTAACAGACGACTACGTGCCCCAAGACCCAGCGTCAAACTGCTACTGCAGTCTCCTGTAATCCAAAATGATCCAAAACCCTCACGCAATTGATTTCTACATAAATGCTACTATTTATTTCGTATATTGTACATAAGTTACTGGAATTGATACAAAATTAGCATTTTCGCCGCACTTTTTTCATAATAAAAGTTGAAACAGATTTGTTAATGAAAAAGAACCTTCAATTCTTCTCAATTCCTATTTAATTTTAAAAATCTCACACGTCACAAGGGAGTTTCTTTAAATCGATTTCTCTTCTAAATGATTTTTTGATTATATCTTAGTACTGATTATTTATTATGAAGAGTTTTTCATTTTCTTTGAGTGCGTCAAAGGGCGATTTGATGGCTTGAAACCCCGCAGAAATATTGGGGCCAATTTGGGAAGAAAAATTTTTTCGACAAAAACTAGCTATTTTCAAAAAATCATAACTCTATTAATTATTAATATTTTTCAATTTTTCCCATTACGAAATATTTAATCTAATCTAATCGCCATCTTGCTGATTTCGTGTGGATCTGTTTATCTTGGAAATGACGAACTTTCATAAAATCTTGTGAACTTAAAAAAATATCTTGAGTCTCCAGCTAAATCTGATGCTTTGCAAGATATTTTCAAAATACCCTCGACGAAATTGAAAGAATAAATGAAAATACGACACAATGGATTTCATTTTATTAGTAAATCGTATTTATTATCCTTCTTGATTCATTGTTTACATCACCAACTTAAAAATCTAATGACGCTTCCCAATATTAATAATCATTTTCGTTTTTATTTTTCGAGTGCAGTTTAATCATTACTTGAAGTACCATTACAGTTGTGCGTAAAAATAAAAGAGAAATTTTATTTATTTCTTTAAGTAAAATCTACATCTAATTTCGCTTTACCACATAAAACCCTAGAGTGTAAATTAGTTATATTACATGGAAGTTATTCATTCGGGGGCTGGATGAGTGATTTTAATTGTACATTTCGTTTTGGCAGTTCTCATTTTAATGAAGTTTACATCCAAAGTCTTAGTTTCTTTAGTTTATCATTTACTCTCTTCTTCAGTGCATGAGGCGAGCTCCTTAATGACCTTCTTTCTAAGTATAAATACGTACGATCGTTTTTATTCGAACTTTTTTATGTTTCCTGTGTCGGTACAAACTATGGAAGAATATGTATCGACTCAATCTCCAGTTAAATGCAATTAAAATTCAAAAATAATAAAATAAAAAAATTATCATTTTTTCATCTTTGTGAATTGTTAAAATGTAAAATGTGGGACATGAAGTTTCCCTTTATTATGCATTGATCTGGGAAATGAAAAGTCTTAGGAGATGTCAAAAGACCTTTTCTCACCGCCGATGAACTTTTCTACGAAAAAAATCTCTTGACATTTTCCTCCCAAATAACTCATTTTCGAGATAATTGTAGTGGAGAATTTTTTAAGCCCAAGGGATGAGTGAAAAAATTACCCTCTCATTGCTTTGCAAATATCTTAAAAATAATTAGGTTTAGAAAAAGATGTGAATGAACATTTTTTTGTAGAAAACTGGATTTAAATTCCAACTAAAATGCCTTCGGAATTTTTCTTCCAGAACCAATGTTCCTACGATATTCGCAATCTAGGCCGAATGAGATGGAGAATAATGAAAAAAGATAAAATAATTTTCGAATATACGAGAGAATTAAAATTAAACCCACTCCATCTCATTAATTTTCACAGTTTCGTAGATAATACTTTTCTGTTCCAATATAATTACTTCGAAATTTCGATTGATCTCTCCTTATCATCAGCAGAATTCCAATCAAATGAGAACAATTGGAAAATTAATTTCACTATTATGTAATAACGCCCACGATTCAGGCACCCGTGTAAGATGATCAAGGAGCAATTGTACAGATAACTACAGCCGTCGTGGCATTTTGGCTATTTTAATTAGGCTGAAAAAATGTTTTAAATTGCAGAGTGATAAAAATATTAACGTATCAAAATATATTATTTTTCAGTTCATTCATTTCACTGAGTTTGCCTGTTGCAAATTAACTGGAATACTCAGCTTACTTAAAATTTTTAATGATATAGTTATGAGCTATGAGTTATTCGTTAATTGTTCTGGGACCATCGTGAGTCAGTGAAGTGGTCAAATTAAGTAAATTTCATTTTCCCCAGTTATGCATTAATCTCGTTACAGAGTGGTATTAGGGCAAAATGTCAAGACCTTTGTTTTTGCAAAAGAATGCATTCGGACAAGTCCTTTGAAAACCACTTGTTAACGAGATATTTCGAGATTTACCCAGATGATTTTCCGCCTTGGAACGTTTTGCCACCTATTACGGCAATATTCCTTTCGATATCAATTCCCATGATTTGGAGATGCAATGGCATGTACCCTCTATCGAAAGATGAAAATAATTAGAGAGATAAAGAATAAAAAATGAGAATAATGATCGAGGGGAGGAATTTAGCAGGAGTAAACTTCAAGTTTAGCAAGTTTGGCCCTTTCCTCTTCAGTGTCATCTCTGGCTATCATTAATGTGTGAGAGAGTCCACAAGTTATTGCTGTTATGTAGAGACCCTCCAGGGCTTTCACTTCCATTGGAGTTGTTGATGATTTTCTCATTTCACCGAAACCCTAGAAGAAAGAAATTTGGAAGTAAATCCCATTTGTATTAATTAATTTGGAAATAAATACCATTTATATGATAATCATTTACTTGAAAATATGAGTGATATCAAGAGGAAACACTTGAAAATTCAAAAATGAGAAAAACAAACTCATCAGGGATAATTTACAAACGAAATAAAAATTGAGGGATGCAAAGGGCTTCCGCGTAAACAAAATTAAATTCTCTACAGAAAAGGTCGCATTATTTTTTTTCTAGACCTATCAATCTCAAAGATTAATGTAAAACAATTCTCAATTCTCTTAATCTTCTAAACTTCATAGTTCCAGATGCATTTGCAGAACAAATGAACAAAAAAAATAAAATTTTATATTTCACTGAAAATTCAATAAAATTCAAAAATTCTGAGAAGTAGAAAAAAAGTCCAAATTATTGAATTTTCAAATAATTGAAAGTTGAAGAATATGTTTATCGGAATTTTCCGGTGTTCTATTAATTTTCAGGGAATAATAGACCTAAAATTTACAGTTCTCATTGATTTCTCCCCCGGAATTCAAAATCTTTAATGACGAAATTCGTTAAAATTTCCGTGGAACTTAAATACAGATGGAAATTGACGGTGAAAATTAATTCGGTCATTTCATGTTTATATCCAATCGTCATTTTACTCCCAACGCCAATATTTTCTACTCACAAGTTCTCCAAAAGTAGGACTAGCTCCCCAAGCAATGACGGACTCATCAGCAGCAACAACAACACTAGTCTGACTGACCCCAACACACCTGATCTCCCACCCAGAGAGATCAGGAATAGGCTTGGGATACATATTAGCCTCGCCAGTGCGTTTGGTCTGGCCAAACATGAGTGCAGTGCCATGAACATTGATAACAATACTGTAAGTACTACCACAGTGGACGGATCTGACTCCACGATTGGGTGGCTCAAGATACTTGATTAATCGTGGAACAAGTTCATCTTTCTGCTCATTGTGTCCAAGTCTCCCAACTCCCCCAAAGCCCCAGGAGAATGCACGACTTTTGCTGTCAATGGCTACAGTGTGATAATATCCACAACTGAAATCAGTTATTTCGACTCTGTCAAGAGGAGTCACATGGCCGTCCTTGCCCCTCTCCACATACAGGACAATTCGTTTAGGTGATTTTTCAAAGTGAAATGCCATTTTAGTGCTCGTAATGAAGTACTTTCCATCGGTGTTGTGACCGAGTTGGCCATTCTCTGGGGATCCAAAGGAGTGGAGTCCACCTTTTATGTCCAGAATCATTGAGAATTCAGCGCCACAGCCGACCTTGACGATTGGAGCCCCTGAGTACTTGACTTTAGTCGCTGTTGTGATCATTGCGTCTGCTTTACCAACACCACATTGCCCCAGCTTATTGTCACCAGCTCCGAAGACTAGGCCACGACTTGTGAGGAAGAGGGTGTGGGCACGACCACAGGCCGCTGCTATCACTGTGTGACCCTTGAGGGCCTCAACCTCGGTCGGGTCGTCGCGACGATTCGTGTCGCCCACTCCTAGTTGTCCTGGGGGAGTAATTGAAGGTGTTAAAGGGGTAATTGGGCTGCTCTCAGGGAGGGTCATGCAGGACAAAATTCAAATCTAGCGAATTCACTAGAAAATTCTATTGAAATTCTACGGATGAATTCTACTTGTTTTTTGCGCTGATTCTATTGGATATTTCATAGGAAAAAGTCAATATATTTTGAATTTCAGTTCAAATTTTTCTCTTGAGATTTTTTCTAATAGAATCATTGGGCACAAATTTTCTATGAATCATTTATAAATAATCAATTTGCCACCGTAAAAGTCATTTGCTCGGAACACTAATAAATTTATTCATATTCAGAATTTTATCAGAAATCGATGTAAACGATTTCAATTATTTATTGATAAACAACGAAAGTTTAAAAAAAAAAATTCTGTGCAAAAAAGATATTATTAACATTTCGAAACATGTGTCACAAGAAAAGCACAATTCCCTAAATTCAATCGTTACCGAGATAATTCCATAATTAATGATTGAAGAGGGCGATATGCTTCCTCTAGTACATAATTATTTACGCAGGAAATGAAAATTGTGGAGGGAATATGAAATCACCTTTGTCATTTCTCCCGAATACGAGACACCTGTCATCCTCCGTGACGACGACGCAGTGAGAAGCAGCTGGGCCAGATACAACGAGCCTCACCCTGGCGCCATTGAGATTCTTGAAAGTGTGTGGCGTCCACAAGCTGCGCCCAATGTTCACCTTTGAGCCCTTCGGCGGTGCCTTGCGTCCAGCCTGATCCCAATTTGTTAATCCACACATTACGAAGGTTCCAGGCTTACCCCAGCCTCCCTAGAAGGAGAGAATCATTCATGATTTCTTTACAATTCAGTAGCGAAGTGGTAAAACGGTTCAAGTCGACTCATCTTCCAGTTGAGTTTTTCAGGAATATTCCCGAATCTAAGGGAGATAGCGAAATTTTCGTAATTACATTTGTTGTAGCCCTCAATCGGCTCTACAAAAAAGGTTATGAGAAAAATTTTCCCATCTCGCTTAGATTCCAGGATATTCATTGAAAACTGATCAATAGTCAAAATTGACTTGTACCGTTTTACCTTCGCTACTGAATTGAGTTGAAGATTTAAATTAAGGCCCGGGTGGATTATCTGTCGATCGTTATCTCGATTGTTTTTCCGTCTTCATAATGCAAAATATATCACAATTTCCATTGGATTTTACATGATTATACAATTTAAAAAAGAAGAAAAAAAACTGAACATTTTCAAAACATAACACGAATGCAGAAATTTCAAAAAACTATCTTCCACTAATTCATTATCTCAGTCTTCGCGAATTAAACATCCCCTCCCCCAACCGAATAGTCAGACATTTGAAGCTCAGAATAGCAAAACAAACAAGCAGGGGACCGCGAGCATATGACAGCCGCCATGTGACAGTGAGCATGTCGCAGAGTGATGTCTTATTTTTTTCTGAAATATTACAAAAGTTTATAGCTTCACAATACTAACTAGCAGCAAAATTTCAGATAGTCACTGCCGCCTTCATGTTTTGAATACTTCGTATGAGGGTATACATATTTTCTGTCCGAATTTCAAATTGATATCTCGATTTTTGCACAAGCTAGTGTTTACAAAATTTTTTTATGAAAAAACGGAAAAACGGGAATATCTCAAAAACTTTATATGAACGGGTACATATGTTTTGATTGATTTAGATAGAAGGTGCCGAAACGAATATTTTGAAAAAAAAATCGAAATCGATCGCCTAGTTTTGAAGATATTTTCGGAAAACAATAAAAAAATGAATCGCTTTTTCTCAAAAACAATGAGCTCGATCGGGCCGAAATTTTGGACAGAGCTAGTCCTCATTATGACCTATAATCTGACAAAATTTCAGATTTTCTGAAATTATTTTATCCGCTCAATCACTCAATTTTCTAAAAATTGACCACCGGGCAGACCACTCTACATAATTCCCAATAAAAATTAGAGAATGTGAAAATCGAAGGATTGCAATGCTCCCATTCGAAAGCAAAAATTATCATATCCCATTTATTCGTCAAAGTAACGACGAATGATGAGAGAACAATGAATATTCACCTCTGGTGCACGTAATTCAGGAATGTTAGAGACATCATTGAGCTCATCATCGTTGGCGTCCTCAGCATCAGCGTTCGAACCGGCGTCGGCATCCTCAAGATCAGACTCATGCTCACTTGAAATATCCTCCTCATCGTACTCCACTTTCCTAGACTTATTCTTTCCCTTCTTGGTAGCCGGAGTTTTCCTCTTTGACGACATTATCAGTCTAATTTCAATTCAATTAATTACTAGCACTGTTGGGTATTATTAATTTAATGGAGGTAAAACCAAATGAAAAAATCGATTTGGTGGCACTTCTTTTTCCACCCAACACACAAATATTACAAGTGTGTATCAAACTGCGGTGGTTATGCTCGACGCTAATCGCTTGGGTTCCCAACACTAATACCATTACATTATCCACAAACACATATAACGTCTCTTTCCTTTACGCTCGTTTGTCTCTTTTTTTCACCTCTCCGCTTTTCTCTCATACATTTGGATTATGGGTTTATGTTGGTGTGGGTCAGGGGCGGGGGTAGGGGAGGGTTCGTGCTTGCCTGGCAGAACGTTTGCTTGAAAGTTGAAATGTCCCGAAGGGGCAGGGAGTGGAGGGGTTTTTGTTAACAGTGAAAACCCAAGCCAGTGACACTCGGGAGTTGATGGAAATATCGGTTTCTGCATCATCAGTTTTATTTTGATTGCGACACTGATGGTAAGGCAGGGCGGAGAGGCGACATCTGGGGGGTGGGTTGAGGCGGGAAGGTTTCTTCATTTTTGAAGGGGAATTTCGGTTCGATTGTAACAGTTGGAGAACAACGCGAAGCCGAGAGCTGCAAGCATGGGAGTTAGAATAGTATGTTCTGGTACAAATGGATCAAAATAGAGGGGAGTGGGGCAAAATGAAATATGGAGGAGAATGAAACAGTAAAACAACGACTGTTTGACGCAATTCAAGCAAAAAATTGCTTTTATGACATTTTTCTGTCAACTTTTTTCTATTCTCGGAATACTGATGAGAATACTTTTTTTTGTATTCATATTTCTTTCCTACTACCATTACGGTTTTATAGGCTCCCCATTCGTCTGCTTTACCTCTCCCACTTCTCTCTTCTGATACTGATGAAAATAATAATTTTCCATTCAGTAGTATTCTCATGAGCACTCCCAAGAGTAAAAAAAAGTTGATAAAAAAAAATATGTAATATGAAAAAATTTTTTTTTGCTTCAATTGGGTCAAACAGTCGTTTTTTTGACTATTTCGTTTTTTCCCATATTTCATTTTCCCCCGCTCTCCCCTATCCTTCGATTTGAACTAGCTTACCGCTTTGCTACGGAATTCACTCTTTCTGAATGACCAATTATACAGATAAAGACAGATAAAAACAGTCGCGTTGTCATATCCTATCCACTCAATCAAGTGCGACACGTGACAACAATGTGTATTTGTTTATAATTTTTTTAATATCTGTAAATGTCTTGCTTTTGTCGTTGCGCCGATTGATAAGTCAATGAAGGATGTCAGAAGAATACAAAATATGTGAGGTTGAGTGGGGTAATCCCCCAGTCGCCGGTGCACAAACAACACCCAATTGTTAATCTCCGGGTAAATATAAACACAAACAATCAATTGATACAGCGAAACGTCATTGTGCAATTTGATTCTTAACTGGATCTCAATGCGATAATGACTTTATCATGTTTGAGCCGTCGTGCAGGCGCCAAAAGTTGGGGAGATGATACCGGAAAAGTTTTTCATTCCGTCTCATAATTTTCAAAAAACTATTTTCTCGGCACAAGTAAAACTTGTTTGAGAACATTTGTCGTTTTTCTCTCAGTGCACGCGAGTAAAAAAATGGCACTCGTCCTGAAATACACTATTTTGTCATAATGGCAGTAGGCACGGACGCGTAGCGAATATTTATTATTTTATTTATTGTAAATCCAACATATATAACATGTGACACACATGAGACATAATACAAGAGTGAGTACCGGCAAAAATATGAAGGAGCCCTTGTTGCAATAAAATGTCTCGACCGGTTTATCTAAACTCATTCGAACCGAAGGATTTACAATTATTCAACGGAAATTCTACCGATCCAATATATGTATCATGTTTTTAAATTTTATGGTGAGGTAACAAACGATAAACAGCAGAGGGGAGAAGTAAAAAAAATAGAAATTTAATTTTGTAACAATTTTATTAAAATACGAAAGTGTTTTTCTTCTAGTCACATATCACATCTATTTCTAAAACTACTCACTAGATATATTTTATCAACAACTATTCTATTTCCATCGGTCGGACGATTACTCCACAGCAAGATTATGCGGAGTCCTGCAAAAAATACAAACATTAGTTAGAAATGAAAAATGCATTATTTGTCACGAGAATTTTTTTTAAGTAAAAAATAAGTCAATTTCACCGAGGCTTTAATTTTTCCTTCTGAATCCAAAGGAGAGGGCGAAGTTGTTATGGAAATTATTGCGCAGCTGTGCTCCCGTTTTACGAAAATGAGTTTTTCGATAATTCAGTAGCGAAGCGGTAAATCGGGTCCTTAAGCGATCAATCTGTTTCTAGAATTTGCGCTGATTCAACTCATTTGACAAAAAAATTTCGCGACAGATTCCCTTTGATTAGTCTAATCCAAAAGATATTGATTACGTAAATTTCTTGTTCCACGCAATTTTCTTCCAGGAGCATTCTAATGGAAATATAAATTTCGGAAACCGTTTATTTCCGCTCACCAACTGTACTTACGTATTTGGCATACGACAAAAACATGTCATAAACAATATTCATGACATTAACGTAGATAACCCTGTACTGAACAGGTACAAGAAGAAAGTTGATCATCTGAGTTGGAGGCCAGAAGCAACAATCGACCTTGTAAGTACTGAAGAACTTCTCCCGAATCTCCTCGAACATATCTTCATTGTCCCTCCGCTCCAACGCGCCATGGCCAAAGAAGAAAATGGCGAGACAGGTGGGGCTGGCGATCGTCTGATCGAGAACAGTTTTCTTCACGATCGAGCCTGCGTTCTTTCCAGGCAAGATTTTATCCAGAATCGCGTAGAAATAGTGGTGGAATGGGCCTTGGGCTGTTCCAACTGCAAACATGTTTCTGACTCTAATTGGATCGAGGGAATCCTCAGGGTTTTGTCTCTCCGATGTGTTGGCGAGAATTATACCCCTTTGTGTTCCGTCATCTGCGTAATTATTTGAACAATGCGTCGGTAATTCGTCATCCTCAGGTGCGACTGAACCGGCGAAGAATTTTCGCTTCAACATGTCTGATTTTTGTTGAATTGCGTCGCCCACTCCCATCATCACACCGCAACTCAACGTGTTCGTAATGATTAGGTATTTACCTTTGGGAGAATTTAAATTAATTATTGTGGAGGATTAATTATTGCTGACGTGACGGAACGAATGAGCAACCCCGTTTTTTCTTTCGCTCTTTGCGAAATCGCGTTCAACGGATTGCGATGATAATGGATGAGAAATATTGAATGCGTATTTTTTTTTTCAAAATTCAGTAGCGAAGCGGTTAAACGGTTCACGTCGACTGAGATTTTCAAAGAATATCTCCTGAATATTCGTGTTCCAGTAAAATTCAATCAAGTAGTGAAGTTTCCGTCTCACTCCCATTGAAAAATCATGAATTTCCGGAAATTCTACTTGAAACTCAGAATTTCTAACCATTTTTTCACTAAATTCGATTCAATGTCATTCTCATGAGATTTACAATAATATCTTCTATGAAATTTCAAAAAAATTCTAACAGTGTATGCTATTCTAGCTCATATGATGGCAACTCGCGCGTTCGGCTCGGGCTGTAAATTCATGGTCGCCAGAAAAGTTTTTTTCGGCGTTATGACGAAATCCAGTATTAAATGTCTCAGTGTTCATCCGATTGGATTTTTTTTGTTTATTGCTTTCGCATTCATTTATCAATTTTTCATTTTTAAAAATTTTTTTATGATCTGTTCAATAGATCGTAAAATGGATGCACATCTTTGTTCTGGGGAGACTAACGAAGATTTTGAAAACAAAAATCGTCAATCAGATGAAACTGAGGCGCTTGGACGATTTTAAAGGTAAAAATGAAAAACGTCGGTTTTCGTTAATTCACGGGGTAAAATCGAGTTTAATTCTAGTGTTTTCGGTGGCCAGCCTTATATTTAGACGATAAATGCTAGAAAATTTTAGAATATTTTGAAATATTATCAATGATGAAAGAGTCTCGTAGGTTTTTTCAAATCAATCGAAAGAAATGTTTGTATAAATTTTAATTGTAAAAACACCCTTTCAGAAAACTGCTGTATCGGTCTGAAGTTTTTTTTATAACTTCCTAGAACCTTCGCTTAATCGATTAATCGCAAACTTCCTAAAGAATTCCGGAACATTCCAGTCTTCTGGAATATTCTGCATCGGAAAATTGTAGTTTTCCGGACAAAGCGAATTTTCCAAATTCTTCTAGAACCTTCCATGGATTTTTGGAGGAACGAATATCTCAAATTATCTAAAGTAAGATATCCTACCATACATCAAAATTCGCTCTAACAAGCACTTTCACATTTTACCGCGATCTCCACTTGAGGAATTTCAAATTTTATTTCATCCAGTCTCTTCCCACCGTTATTTCCCCGCCAGAAATTTTGAAAACACTTAAAAATTGATTTCTACTCACCAAACAGAAGATTTTTAATAATCCCCATTTGCAATCCAATCCCAAAATGTCCGTATTTCTCGAAAAAATACGAGCCCTTTCTTTCCAAAAATTATGGCAGATTCATTCTGCCGTTGAGTTGCCAAAGAGAATCCTTGAAACCTGCCGAACTTCCTTATTCCCCCCAGTGAAATTTCTCTTTATTCCTCTTCTCTTGATGAAGAAATCGAAATAAAAAAAATTCTCAAGTAAGAAAAAGGAAGTTGTCGTTTCCACTATTTCCAGTTATCCTTGTGGATGATACTCTTAATCCTCTGGCGTTTGTACGATCGAAGAATGGGCCTGTGGGGCTGACCTCGGGGCATACCGTTCCACCACCTCAACAAATTCAGGAGAAAAAACCAAAATGGGAGTGTGTCAATCTCCCGAAAATGGTTTTCGAAAAAAAAAATCGTAAATCGAAATTGAATGTATCGGAGGTTTATTTCCACCCCAGACGACAGAACATTCTCGCTTATGCCAAGTCCAATGGCGATTACTGACTGACACCATCACGAGATCCTGAGGTATGATAAATACCTCGGCTCGGTGAACACTTTGTTTGCTGAGTTTGCGCATCGACTTTTGCCTCTTTTATTGTTAAACAAGATTCGATTTCCATCGGAGTTCTTTCACCTATTATGTGTTATCATAAATATGTACACTGACTAGCACGCGCAAACAATCAAATAATCGAGCCTAAGAGTATCAATCCGGATCTGGTATCCCACGATTTTACCCAAAAGTTTAAAAAAAAGATAAATTCCTCAATTTTATAAGGATGCCTTTAGTAATATTTTCCAAACTGGAGGGTTTCCGTATACATTCTTTTCTCTGAAGGTACAGTCATACCAAATTCCGGCTTTTTTGGTACAGGGATGAGACTGCCACCATTAGAAAGATTTTTGCACGCTGATTTCAGTTCCGCCGGCCAAATCTCATAAAACGACCTAGTTTCTGAAGAAAAAATCTCAAAGTCCTCAAAATGGCCTAAAATCGCCGGTTTCAAAATTCTTCAGGAGCATAATGAATGAATAATTACGATATTTGTTTTACAAAACTTCGTGATCTTTATTGAAGTTAAACAGATGATAATTACAGAGCAATTTACTTGGCAGCGACTGCTTTTGGCTTCGGAAGTCCCTCCCTGAATCCATTCCTGCAAAGATAATGGTGACACAATTAGTCTGCAAAAATTGTTTTCACGTGATGAACTGGCCAAAGATAAATTAATCTGCGTTATGCCGGTTCTTGTGAGTCGAGAAGGTAAATAAAAGATAGCAGGGGCTCATGTGGCGCCGTTTCTATTGTTAAACTTCAACTTCTGATCCCATGTATTAGTCGAGGCTTTTGGATGAATTATTTATGTAAATATCTTTATTTTTCCCTAGTAGAAAACTCAAATCTTCGTCAACATGGCGTGCAACAAAATGAACTTTTCGAAGCCTTGGTAATATGTAATTCGGAATGATTGATATGATCAATAAAATACGAGCAAAAATGGAATTTAAAAACTTTTGAGAAAAACATTTTTAATTCCATTAATATTTCTGTCGAAATTATCAACTGATCAGAATTATTTCATCGGAAATTTCTTCAGCTTTCAAATACGAGAGAATGGAATTTCCGAATCCCGAAATTTATGATCAGATTCATCTTATTATTTCCCTTGATTGACGAATTGAATTGATGAATACTTACTTGAACTTGCGACGAACGATCTTGAGGTGACGCATACGCCCAGTACCAGTGGTCTTCCTCCTCTTCGCCTTGATGGACCAGTTGTCTGTTAAAAATCATCAGAATTAAGATCAATTTTCCTCTCAAGATGAATCACTTCCTCTTGAAGATAATATCCACAAACATTTTTAATCTATAAATGTAAAGGAGTTGAAGAATTTTTGTAAGCACCTTTTTCGCAGAGAACTACAAGAAAGATCGTTATAGTATTAATTATTATTTTTGAATGAAATTAAATAACTCAACTCATGGGTCAGTTGCTGAACATTTTGCTCGTTATTTTATAAATTTATAAAATATATATGAATCCAAGGGAGATAGCCAAATTTTCCTAAAAATCTTTTTTATAGTGGGAAATAAAATCTGTGAGAAAGTCTGAACAAAATTTTCGTTGTCTCTTTTAGATTCAGAGATATCCCTCGAGAACTCAGTTGATAGCTGAATCCACTTGTTACTCTTCACAACTGAAATGCTTCAAGGATTTTTCAATCTGAGGAACTTACAGGAACGCATCTTCTTAGCTGGATATCCACACTGTGCACATTGTGACTTTTGAATGTGATAAGACGATCTACCACAACGCCTGCAGAGCGTGTGTGTCTTGTTGCGACGCTTTCCAAAGCTCGATGTACCCTTCGTCTACAAGAGAAATCACAAAACAATTTTCAACACTTGATCAACATTTTTTATAATCATTATTGATTATTTTGAGGGTATTGTTGAATTAGGGCAACACGTGTGGATGAAAACATCTGATGATGGGTGACGTGGGAGGCTATAACCTCTCCGGTGTGAGCACTCGATAAACTTCACTCAATTTTTTATGTTTTGGAATAAATATTGGGGTAACTTCTTTTATTGGAGGGTGATGCACTTATTTGTTCGATTTTAATTGAGCTTTGTTGACGGATTACTCGGGATTTTACGGATTTTCAAGGGGGTATTATTTTCTTACCATTTTGCACGAAAGAGCACTCAAAAAGAAACGACAGAGGGCGTCGTTGTTAGGGAGAGGGGGAACCGGATGTGAGGACGCAGAGTTGGGTGAAGGAGAGAGATTTCCGGTTTTCAAATTTTTCCTTTGAATATAAGAACGCATATTGAATCGGATTAAATATTGTTCTTCTGAACAATTTTGTAAACATATTCTTTTATGGGTGGAGAATATATAATTCAGTAGCGAAGCGGTAAAACTGTTTCAATAAATATCTCGAAATCTAAGGCACTTAGAAAAATTTTTATGACGCAGTCAATTAATTACAAAGGAAATATTAGGAACCATATATTGTCAATGAAATGTTCAGTTGCAAAAAACAGTTACAAATAGTAAATTGTAATTACAGGATAAAAATGATGAAAATTATTGAAAACTAGAAATTCTGCAAATATATAATTTTATTAAATTTCCATAAGTCTGTCTACATCAGTTAAGACTTCTCGAGAGTGGGTTCCACCACCAGGAACAATGTGCTGAGCTCCAACGAGGCAGTCCTTCAGCTCTGTGCCCTCCTCGATGACACAATTGTTGCATAAAATGCAGTTGTTGATGACACATCTATGAAAATTGCATAAAACAATAGTCAACAAATAATGATCCATGAATATTCATCAATTTTTTCAAATGTGACGCCGTAAGATGATACCTCTGCTTAATGACGACATTCCCCATGATGACGGAGTCTGCAACTCTTGTTTTTTGCTCTATTACAGAGCCAGGACCAATGTGACTTTGTTTAATCGATGTTTTCTCATCGACCGAGGCTAGTTCATCGATTCTACAATTTGTTACTTGAGTACTCTTGACTGTGGCCAAAGGAGAAATCACGTTGTTTGTTATATTGCAGAATGGAAGTTGAGGAAGCTGAAAAAAATGAAAATGAAAACGTGAATTTTTTTATTCTGTGGGGAATTGATTTGGACAAATATCTTTGGAGCTAGAGAAAGAAATTAGATGAACGATCCGATGTTAAATTCAATTCGCAAATAGTTGATATGAAAAAATAGTAAGGCATTTATTCTGGGGAATTGCATGCATCTAAAAAAAGCTCTCTTAATTAATAAGATATGCATGTTTTGATATTTTTGGAGAAGTTTGCCTGGTGAATTACCTGACTATTGGCCAAACTGTACATTTGCACAGTGTTTGCTCTGAGTCCAAACTTGTCGGTGACCAGATGCGCATAGCATCTGATCAAGTCTCCGTGATAAGCTCCTTCGAGATCGAAGGAGTGGTCATTGAACGCTGACATCTCCCTTATCAATTCATCCGGGGATTTTTCTACAGCGAATCGGAAGATGTCCTCTCTGATGTCCATTTTTACTATCGAAGTATTTTTGTCGTCAAGAGCTTGTTTCGGAGGCCTGCTCAACTGTTTGCTGACGATGTAGGGAAGCAGTTCACCCTTGAGAGTTCCAAAATTCCTTGGAAACACGAATAAAATTTTTATTTGATTCAAAGAAATCGATTTCAAGCCTAAAAAAATTAAGTTTCCGACAGTTGAAGAAACAATTTTAATTGTTTATTCATAAATAAAAAATGTAAAAAAAATAATGAATCCGTGCAAAATATAATTTGAATGACGCTGAATATTCATGATTCTTTTCATATTTCTCTCGCGCAATTTAATTGACAAATTCAATGCTTCAAAATGGTTGAGCCTCTAGTATGGTCCGTACCAAACTGTAAAAGATACTCGGATATTATTAAAGTACGTAAATTATTTACTGAGGGACCGTGAGTCGATACTGCTCTACAGACCACGGAGTTCTCAACAAAAAAATCTCTTGACTTTTTTTTGTATCCCTGGTTTTAGAAATTTATCACTAAACGTTGACTCAATTTTAACAATCTGCAATTCCCAATTACGGTGATTCTCTCAAATACAAATTTCTCATTAATAGCGTTCTTATCAAGAGACTTGTGAAAAGGTCTCTTGATAAATACTTATATCAATTTTAATAAAAAGGAAAAATCATTACTTGTTATGCACCAAGAAGTCGAGTACCCATTTCTTCATAATATAAAAATGTGCATCCAACAATTTCGAATGAATAGTAAAGCTCGTGTGTTTCCTCAGCAACTTCTGGGAAATAGTGAAAGTCTCCTCGAAATCAGAGGCAGAGGCAAGGAAAACCAATCGATTAGTTCTATTGTCGATGCCAATTAAATCAGTCTCTGGCTTTTGTTTACTCTTGGGCCCAGGCGTGACGAATGTCCCAGGGACCTTTGGAGCCGGTAACATCAGGGCTGTAATACTCGCATTGTATTTTCTGTACGAATTGAGGATCTCAGAGATGTCGATATCAGCAATCAAATCGCAGGAAACCACGATGAAGTCTTTATGAATTTTATCACTGATGAATCTCACAGCGTCGGCTGTGCCCAGATCCTCGCCATCTGGTATTCCAGTGACTTCTGGTTTTAGTGTGAGAGAGAGTTTGTCGAGGACTGAGGAGACTTCTTTACGCGTCGATTCCGTGACTACGACGATTGCCTCGGTGAAGCCTGCCTTTTCGAGGGAGGCAAGGGGGTAGTAGATCATTGGGAGATTGTGCACTGGAAGGAGGCACTTAGGTTTGCCCGCTGTCAGCTCTGTCATCCTGGAACCCTTGCCACCCGCCAGCACAACTGCTTGGAACTCTATGTACCTCACCATAATTTATTTATTGTTTTTTCCCTAGAAATAATTGCAGAACTGATGAAAAGTATTTACTTATTGATTTATTAATTCGTGAAAGAATAGGTCGCTTCCATAGTAAGGGGGGAAATAATAGCGGTAAATTAGGCCATTTGACAAAAATTTTGAAAAAAGAAAAATTGAAAAATATTGATAATTGAGGGAGTTATGATTTTTCGAAAATGGCTAGTTTTTGTCCAATTTTTTTTTTTTTAAACAGCAATTATTCATTTGAGACTTGTAAATTCGAACCAAACAATTATTATTATTAAAATAAATTAAATTAAATACTACATATTATGTATTAAATTTAAATAATAATTCTTATTATTAGTAATAATAATAATAATAATAATAATAATAATAATAATTCAATTTATATTATGTATTTTGTGTATTAAATATTCTCTGAGCAGAATAAATTGTATAGAAAAATAGAATTCCATGGAATTTTTCTGTAGAATATTTTTTAAAGAGGAAATTTCGTATCCAAAAATATGATTCTAACGTGTGATCAACGATTTAACCATTATAATTAACAAAAAATCTTTTTATCTTTTACTATCATTTATAAAGGGAATTGTGTTATTATGGAGCAGCATCCAAAGTTAACCTCAATGAATTTTATTACCTTTGGTAAATCCTTCTCAATGCTCTTCAGTGAATAACAATTAATCCAAATCACTTCTTCACTTTATTTTTTCTGCAGACACTTCAAACTCACGTGAATTGCTCAACTATCAACAATATTGCATCAAAATATGTCTTGCAGGCAGAATAATAACAACGAGTTCAGCCAGAGAATTTGTCAAAACTGGTTGAAAACCCACCCTAAAACCCGCGGGAATTCAAATGTCGGGATGTTTGAGCATCTCATTATCTTTCGATATTTTTCCCTGAGCAATAAGATTGATTATCAATCTTAGAAAACAATTTTTGCCAGTGACATCTAAAATTTACCTGGACACCTGCAATTTGTCGACAAATTGTCGACAAATTGTTGGGATTGGGATTAGGGTGTCCTGCGGCCCGGGGGGGGGGGCAGGCTCCGAATCATCCGCGCCCCATAAGNATTCCAAAAAACAGATAAAAAGATGGGGCTAAATTTTTTTTCTAGTTGCAAATTGGAGACTGAAAATTTTTAAAAAGGAATGATCAACTAGAAAATGGAGAAAATTCGTTTCTCTTTATTTGTGTCGATGCTAACTTGGAATCACTGTTTTTTGTTCGAATATAGGCGAGATATAAATATTTTAGAATTTTGCGATCTAATTTTAACGAGAAGAAATGAAAAAGGAATCAATTTTTCAGTGTCTCCGGAAAGTTTTAAAATCGATGTATTTTCGATTCAGTACCTATTGCGTATGGGATATCCTATCGTCCTATCGTAAAAAGGAGAAAGAAAATCGATCTCGAAATATCTCGAATATCTCGAATCTTAAGCGTAAGCGTAAGACTGAAACCGAAGCGCCACTACGTGAGGAGATGAGGAGGCGCGTGCGTAGGAGGCGCGGCCGATCTCGTACGAATAAATATGAAATGCAGTGGATTGAAAGACCAAACAATATTGGTCATCTAATGAAAGACCTCTCTGTTTTTTCTCCCTATAAAATCATTATTTATGTTTATGTAAACTCTCGTCACTTCTTAGCTAAATGGATTCTATGAATTTGACTCAATAATCCAACAGTATCATCCTCCTTCAGCCCGAACAGCACTGATTTCAGTGATGCTCTCCAATCAATTATGTCAATTTTTCTCTCAGTGTGACCTCCAAAAAATTTCAATGATGTTTTTGTCCCGATTTGTGAGGGGGTGTGCGCCCCACAACGCATCACTTTTAATGCACTTAAATGCGGGCGGCAGCGCAGCGAGCGACCAACACTCTACCCATTTTTGCGTGCACTTTTCCCCTATTCCGTTGTAAGTAAAATTGTAATTGGCCACCGGCCAGGGAAAATTTTGTTAAAAACAAACACAATATTTGGTTATCGATGAATTTTGCAAAATAGACATGAAAAATAGGTATACAACCCGTTGAAGCTGTTACACGCAATCACAACATCATCTTTTTGGAGGCTTTTAACTCAGTCTAAATAGATTAGAGTAGAAATAATCGAGTTCAGAGACTGAGAAAGAGAGTAGAGTCGCAGTAATTGAGAGACAAAAAACAAACGGGGGGTTGTGCCGATGCCTTCATCGAAATTTTGCCGAAAATATCATTATCTCTGTATAATTTTTTCTTCCCGTCAATTTCATTGGCAGCATACTTTCGAATGGTTCGACTCGTCATTTCCATTATTAACTTTCCGATTCACAGGGGAGTTAATTGTTATCATTCAATTATCATCAAATCTCATTTTCAATCCCAGGGGTGATATCTTCCGATCGCTAATTTGGATGAGTGACAATTGAGCAATTAGTTTGACATTAATTAATGGAAACGTTAGCAGAATTTTTGATTATTACATTCAAGTTTCGAGTTAGGTATAACACTGGAATAAATGATGTTCATCTGTCTCTATTGTTCATAAGGCAATAGATTATTTAAAGATATACTGACCTTTCAAAGTCTTCGGTTGATGAAAATAGTTATCGAACGACTTGATGTATCATAGGGTGCATTAAAAAGGGAGAAACATTTTGGACCCAACCCATTTTACCCCGTTCGTCGAGAGACAGCGTCATTTTTCGTTTTTTTGGCTTTAACATGCTCTTCACACCACAATTTTCATTCGATTAAATTTTTTTTCAACATGTTCGTTAGGTTCCATAGAATAAAAGTTTGTATTTTTTAAAAATTATCTCAATTAGATCGTAGTAAAATCAATTTTTTTCAGTCTACTGTTTTTTTTTAATTCTTAAAAGTATTATTCTGAATAGTTGAACGTTGAGATATAGTACATAACAGGTGTTCACCCTGGGAAATGGGGAGGTTGATGGGAAATCAATTTAGAAACTAAAAATGAATGAATCGAAAAAAAATGATTTTACTATGGTTATTAACATCATTAACATGATTGAAAAAAAATCCCAACATTTATCCTATGCAATCTACCGAGTGTTCTGGAAAAAAAGTTTAAATCGGATAAAAATTGTCGCGCGAGAAGCGATTTAAAGTCGAAAAATACTGATCGAAAACTGTTCAGACGGTGATATATGTATTTTTTTTTCAGTTCTCAGGTGAAACGAGTCTGTTATGAATGACTGTTACTGACCTTAGTTATCTAACAGCTGTCAAGGATATACATCCTAAATATACTTAAAGGGATATCCCCCGGGGGTGTTGACGAGCGAAGCGCGCGGGGGGCAAAGCCTCCTAGTACAGTGGACTGGGAGATATAGCCACTCAAAGGAATAGAATAGAATAGTACAGTGGACTCTCCTTTAGCCGCCGACTCGGTAATCCAACATCCCACGACCGTACACAGTAAACTTGTTGCACTATGTTTATCCGAACCATATGCTCTATTCGATGGAAAGTTTCCGACACTTCTCAAGATGAATCTCGATTTGTTTCGAACGTCATTATTCATTGAAAGATTCGCCTGATTTGAATTAACTGCACTGACAATGAGGAAAATTTTCTAGAACAATTCATGTGTTAGCACCATAAATGAGTCACAATTTGCACACGTGGAAACTTACTGTGTACACAGAGAGAAAAATCGACATAAGACAAAAATAATTCCTTGAGTGGAGAACATGGCATGCACATTCGATCAATTCATGATAGATTTCAGACAAGAAATCGGCGCCCTTTGGGCAAAAGGAGGATGATACTGAATGAAAAAATGATATTTTTTTCTGGAAATTAGATAATATTCCTGAAGAGACAAAGTAAGTTTGAGAGAAGGAAAAGATGTTATTGCTTTCCTTCAAGCTCATTGCGACTGAGCGCAAGTGACGGTTATATTTTAGAAATATCTGAAATATCTGAATTCTGTATTAATGCAATATGAAAGTCTCTGATCGATGATTCACTGAACAACAAGTCTGTATAACTGGATCCTTTCGACAATTCTTTATCGATACGGCTATCAAATCGGATTTCCTCCGATTTTTTCACCCGAGGGGCATCTTTCTTCGGAATCTTCGGGACAAGTTTCGCCTCCTCGAGACGGTTCCGATTTTCTCTCCGCGTAGAACCTATCTAACAAATTTCATTATTTTCTTTAGAATTTGAATGCTTGGAGGGAATGATTGAGCTGAAGCTCCTTGCGGTCTTGCAAATTTGTATTCATTAACACTTGTTGGCGCTAGACTTCAATTCTTCCCCTATCTTGGTATATCTGAAGTCCGAGGTATACACTTCAGTACATATCGTGCCATTTTACTAATGAATTGCAGTGAATTATGGGTCGTAAGTACATTTCAGATCCTGTACAGATCACTTCACCCAACGGAAATCTGTGCGAGTGGAGGGTCATTCTGGTTCTTGAAAGTGGTCGTCTCGATTTATGCAAACTTCTATTAATTTATGAATGGAGGGTTTCTCAATACTTCTCAGGAATTGGGTCCTTTGTTGTACGATGAAAATGGAGATGTCTTGAGCAGAGCCTCAAATTGCGTCATGATGATCAATATATATTGTTTATTTCACAGAGAATTATTGGATGTAAATATTTAACGAACCACTTTGCCCGATCTTAAGCTGTTTATGAAAATCGAGGGTGGTTCGTATTCTTGCCAATGCTTTTAATACAAATTCCCTTGGACCAACCAGACAATAAGACAATAAGACAATAAGTCCTTTCTTGTAAAAAGGAAATGGGTCGTCATAAGCAGATTCGAAAATTCTTGGATAATCAGCTTTATCCCCTGATGACGTCAATATTTTTCGATAGCTGTGTTGGAAAACAAGTGAAAGGTTATGTTGCAATCTCCATGTTTCTCATTTTCTTCTTCGACAAAGTTCGCATATCCCTAGTAACAACCTGGAAGCTTCACTTGCAAGTCCGTTTGTACACAATCAGTTAGTCCTGGAGTTCTTAGTTTATTCTTAGAGAATATCAGGAACCTTCTTTCCATTACCGTATACCTTTCGATTTCTTACGGATTCTCACTTTTCCAGCAGCATAATAATTCCTAGTGCTTCTTCCAGCTTTCGAAAAATTCGAACCCCTCCCGAGGTGTTCCCTCGCGGCCACCCATTTTTTTTTTTAACTATGTTTTTATTTGAAGTCCAACAATATTTACATATATACAGTATTTACATATATCAAAAACCAGTCTTGAAAAAAATTATAATGAGAGATATTTTGTTTGGTACATAAACTTTGGTCAAGTATTATTGACTCTCGAGCTTAATCAGTATTTTATAGAACATATTATGTGTGTATAGCAGTGTATCATTTTGTAGTTATGATTCTTCGAATTATTTTCATATTTAGGAGTTGATGTGCTTAAAAAAAAAAGAGCAAGGGGTTGCTTTATATGAACATGGAGAAAAAAAAAAGCACTTCAGCTCGCGGCCACCCATCCTTCTAGTGAACACGCTCAGCGCTGATTAGCTTCTCAAAGGTAAGCCGTCGCACCACCCCCGTTTTTTTTAAACCATGTTTTTATTCAGGAATGACAGCCAGTATTTACAATATTTACTTAAAAACGAGTATCAAAAAAAAGTTCAATGAACGTTCTTTAATGGAGTGTATAAACTTTTCGCCGGGAGAGGCTCTCGAGTTTATTTAAGCCCACCACCGCCGTGCGCTGGGCCCGTCGGGCAGCAATCAGGCGATAATAAGTTATTAAATATTATTAAAAATTCTTCAATTTTTACCGAGTGTATAGAGTATATAC